TTTTTTTTCTTTTTTTTTTTTTTTTGGCTTATTCCACTTGCTCCACACTGGTTGTGTTGAGGTGCCCGGCTCCAAGGGTGCTGGGACAGCCTTGCTGCTGAGCTGATGGCTCGGCTCCGGGGTGTGCGGGGGGTCCCGGTGCGGCTTGTAGGTGAGGCCAGACCTCGCTGGGCACGGCTGCGGCCTCGCAGTGCCGTTCCCTCCTTCCTTCCCTCCCTCCCTCCCCGAGCTCGGCTCGTGCGATTCTACGCTGTTTGTCCTGTGCTTTTTTTTTTGTGGTGTTCCCTTCCACCCACCCGTATTTTTTTTTTGTTCCTTTTCTCCTCTGTTACAGTTTAGAAAGCGCTAAACCCTCCTCCCAGGCAGCCTCCGTCACGATCCCTGACCACCTCAGCATCAACCTCTCTCAACCCTCCACCCCTTCTTCTTCTTCCTCTTCCACCACCACCCCCTCGCTCGCCACAGCGGGGGCCTCCGAAGCACCCGCCAGCCTCCCCAACCCTCTTCCGACCGCCCCTTGTGTCTCCAGTCTGCTTGGCATGAAACCTGTCCCTCTCCTGGCTCTAAATGTTGTGTCTGCTGCTAAGGGTACCTCCGCTCCAGCTGTGCCATGTGTCACTAACAAACTGAAAGCGGAAAAGCAGAGATTTTCTCCTTACTGAGTCTGCTTGTGGCCTTAGAGGACCAGCAGATCGGTGGCAGCATGGAGACCCCATAGAGGAGACTTGGAAGAGCAATTCTTTTTCTCTTTTTCATTGTTTGGGTTTTTTCTTCTTTTTTTTTTTCCCCTCCCTTTCCTTTCCTCTCCTTGTGCCTGCTGTCCCATTTTCCTGGTGCGATCGCCTCCCGGTCTGTGGGAAGCTGTAGGGTAATGGACCCGGCTGGAAAGGGGTCCGGCCACGGTGCCGAGGGGAGCCCGTGGCTGCTTAAAAGCCGTGCCTCGCCCTGTCAAGCTCTTGGCGGTTAGGGCTGTGCTGTTTCGATCCGGCGCTTGCGTGGTGAGGGCTTTTTTGTGGGGTGATAGAGGAGGGACTTGCCTGGGCCTGCTTGTGGAGATCCTGAGCATCTCCCAGTGGGATGCCGTGATCCCAGGGAGAGGAGTTGGTGCTGACTTGGCTCCTCTCTGATACCTCAGAGCAGCCGGCGAGCCCTGACAGGGACGGCTGGCTTCCTCGCAGCCCGGCACGGGGCCTGGCTGCCTGCCCGCCATGCGGCACGCTGCGGCTCTCTCTGCCGCAGCAGGGATTTAGGGCCCGACTTGGGACTCCGTGTGCTCAGACCCATCTTGCCGTGGCGTCCCATGTTCGCTGCGATAAGCCAGGCTGGGAGCAACATCCTCCCCTGTCCTCAGCCCCTGGGGCTCTGGATGGAGGAGGAGAGCTGGGGAGAGCCCCAAGCCTGTGCAGGGACTTGTCACCGCTCCGTGTTGCGTGGGTTGATGCCGGAATGGCACAGCAGCTCCAGCCTGGTCCCGAGCAGGAGCAGAGGAGAAGCTGCCTGTGATTTCTCTCTCTTTTTTTTCTTTTTTTTTTTTTTTTGGCTTATTCCACTTG